TGCACAATAATTTTAAGTACCTTGAATCTTGAAAAATAACAAAACAAAAACTTTCTTTTCATTTCTACGATTTCCTCTTTGGTAAAAGTGATGATCCAATCGGCTTTAATTATTATCCCAATACCTTGACAATAGTAAATACCAGGTTGAAATAGTAAAAATATTTTGAAAAGTTGAGCTGTCACTAATTGCCGGTTCGGGTCCGGGTTTGATCTTACACTTGGACCCGAACCGAAATTTCTTTTTTAACCCGACGCCCGAACCGACCCGAAAAATTTTACCAGAATCCATGGTCCGGTTCGGTTTCGGGTACCTGACCGGGTTGCAGTACTCTACTATAGAGGAATATTGCTTTGTTGAGATTTGTAAAAATGTGAGTGCGAAACAGAATAATAATTCAACAAGGTGGTCGAACTGAACTAGTTACAATTCTGGTCTGACTAGCATCTGTCACAGTCTGTGATGAGTCAAAATTTTTATTTCTATACTTCAACATTCCTTTTAGATCATATTTTATAAAATAATTACAAAACTCAATCTTACTCGTATGTACGAGTTGCCAATGTATTTGATCCAGTATTTTCATCAGTTTTTATTGTACTTGAAGAAGATTTTGTAGTTGCTGAAAATAGATGAGATTGAGATCGTTTTATTTATAATAAATAAGACTAAAAACTTACTCGATGCTTCTAATGGATCATTATTAATCATTCCTGTACGTTCAAATTCTTCCATATCAGCAGCAGCATCATCCTCGTCATCGTCATCATCTTCAACAGTAATTTGTGTTTGTTTACCATTTGGATCCATTTGTCTAGCATGTTCTCGTACTTCTGTTACTGTACTATCAGCATAATGATGTGTATCAACCCAACCACCATCACCATTTTCATCGTCAACAATTTTTTCCAAATTATCATTATGTTCCATGTGTTTACATCGTTTATAGCAAGGAACATTACGTGTTATTAAAAATTGCTTGTCGTTTGGTAAATAATCTTTTCTTTTACTTTCATCACCAATTGCCCATTTCCATGTTGGACAATGATGAACAAGAAAATCACCGGCAGCTACAAATTCTGCAGGTGTTATAACACCTGTTTCACGAAATTTCGATTGAGTTAGTACAGGTGTCATTTTTTCACCAATACTTAATGCTGTACTTTTTAATGAATTAATAACACTATCCATCTGAAAGATTTTAGTTGAATAGTTAAAAATGTTTTAATCAAAAGATCGAATCTAGGTCAAAGAATATATTGGCTTCAATGATTATTAAATAAAAAATGAAAATAATGGCCTGAGAGAAAATATTTCTCTCTTGATGAAAAATTTATATCAATGAGAAGCCAATTTAAAAACAAACGAAAAGAATAACGCAACTCAGAACGTCAATGAATTATTTTATTAATCATTTCTTTATCATACGAACGAGACTATAAGATATTCATCCTTGTTGCGTATTTTAATGAAAAATCTTTCATGGATAGTATCACTATTAAACAAAAGAACAACAAATATTTTCAAAATCAGACTATAGTGCATCTCAAAAGTCTCACATCATTTCTTTTTCTTTTGGCTCGTGTATTTAAATTACACAACAGTAATGTAATTCGAATAGATGCCTGTATAGAGTAATGGTTGAGTATTATACATACACATACCTATTTAATACGATAAACTCTTGAATATGAAAAACAATAAAAAAAAATAACACACAGACTTCAGTGCTAAAAAAAGATATTATTGTTATGAAAAATTCTGTTGGATTGCGTCATCTACTCAAATATTGAGAGAAGGCTGCGGGCCTTCCTTTCAACCCTATTTATATTGATATTCACACGTACACTTGAACTTCTAAATAGTGTATTTTGTAGTGTCACATGACGAGTAAATCCTGAAAAAGTTTGGCATCTGATCACATCTTCTATGGTCGATACTGTGATAAATCGCATTTTTTTCTTATTTAATAGTAGATAATCTGAGATATTTAATAGATGAGCCTACAGCTCGTGAAAAGCTCTACAAACACTTTCGACTGATAGCAAGGACTAAAATGATCAGTAACTGATCATGTTTTGAACGTATAGCTATTTATCAATAAATTGATTTTAGTTTCTTCAAATTCTTATGAAAATAAGATTTACTATATATCTTTCGACGCGTTTCAACTTGCTCTACAACATGGTATATTTGGTTTCTCAATAGGTAACCTAATCTAATAGGATCTTTTCTAACAATAATATGTTTTTATTTTCTTACTGTATTTTCATATTCAAGGCTTTATCAAATTAAGTATATATACATGTATATATAGTACTCGAGCTCTACTATACAGTTAATGTTGTATACTTTGAATACAGCACTCAAAACAAAAAGAAGTGATGCCAGACTTTTGATATTCACTGTATTATTGAAGTTTCTCGAAAAATACCTCTATAAATGGGACTTAAGAAAATCTATGTAAGTTGAATTTTCTTTCGAAGAATTGTAATCCAAATCTATTATGTGCTTCTCATTTGAAGAAATTCAAAAAAATTATTTTTCATCCACAGAGATTATTCAGTCAGAAATGATTTAAATCATTGAAGCACAAATATTTGTTGAAAAAAGAAATAAAAGAATAAACTATTAAACAAACGATCTTTTTGTTTTTATTTTAATTTCTTCTTATATAAGTGGTAGTGTTACCGAATGGTTTACAACAAAACAATCCATTGTATTCGTTTATTATTTGTTTGTTGTAACTGGTGCAGTTGTTGTTGTACCAGTGGCTTGTCGCTGTCCTTTACGTGATTTGGCTAATGTTCCTTCACGAAAACCATTTCGAAATCGACGAAAAACCACTTTTAAATGTTTCATACGACCGGTGCCTGTTGCTTTTCGTCGACGAGCTTTTTCACTCCATTGATATTTACGTGTTTTAGCTGATGGAAATCCACAAGCAGCACAACGTTGTCGTTGCAAATGATATGATGAACGACCACATCGGCGGCATAATGTATGGGTCTTGCAATTACGTTTGCCGAATGATTGTGTACCCTTCGTCATTGTTCCGACGAGGAAATTTTATGATCTAAATGTAAAATATATCGAAAACAAAATATTCGATTATAATGATTTAATAAACAAATGATATGCATATGAAACTACTAGCCATTGATCTATTTCATCCATGTTTACTTGGATGTCATGTGGCCATCATGGAGAATATGAGATCATTGGATAACAAATTGATTTCGTTAACAAGAATTTTTCTTTAAATCAAATCGAATTTTGAGCATAGAAAAACTTTTTTAAATAAAATCAATAAGAATTTGTATATATTCTAATAGTAATTATTACAAGAAGTTTGTATGATAGCGACATCTCTCAAACTAATGGATCATTTATTACTGTAATAACTTTTCAGTGATGTGATACACACTAGAATGAATGAATACAGAAAACAAATCGAAAATAGCTGTTTTGATTTTTCACGTATTCATAAATACAAATCATATAGTTACATGAACGAATTTTTGATCACTCAAAAACTATTGAACTATTGTTTGAATCGTTGTGAAATTCAAACTATATAACAAAGTCATTTGATTGTTTTTCCAATAGTATTGCAAATAAATATTGAAAGTCAGTATTTGTGAACGTCGAAATACCGACAATCAATTTCATGACCAAGAAAACAAAAAAAAATTTCAGTTACTTGTCAAAATTCATACTCTTTCTGAAGATGAAATGTAAAACAAGTGTTTGTTTTGACTAAACATGTCTTTTTAACATTTATGCTAATTTCAATAAGTTTTTAGCACATCGATATTTGATACATGTTGTTTCAAATCAAGATTGATTGTCAATAAAGAGAGTTTCGAAAATAATTCACTTAAACATAATCTCAGTTTTTTCTTTGGGGTTATAATTGGACACGATTGTTATAAATGATGGAATAGAATCAATATAGCAAATAAATATGATCTTTTGTCAGATGATCTACAATATACCCATACACTACACTCAAACTTATCGTCTTCCGTCATGTACATAGCTTCAACAACATTGTTCAATGCTATACAGTACAAACATACGATGAGTTTTCGAAGTTTTTGTATGTTTTACAAGTTCAGTTTCGTTAGACTCATAATATGTGACCAATTAAATAATAGAACCACCATAGAGCGAAATTCAACACTATTCTGCATTTTGTTGAATTCATTTGAAATAAGTATTGAATTATTTGTTGTATTCAATTTATCCTATTCGTCATTAAAAATCTTGACTAACTTACAGGATGGAAAGTTATCGTTACCGATCAGTCCAGTCGCTGAGTAATTGGTAGCAGAAACTCTGTCAACTTAATGTTTGTACCATGAAAAGTGCATTTATCGAATTAAGAATTTTAATCTCAAGCTCCGGGGTTAGGGAATCCTAATCTATAAGTGATTTCTTGAAATTTCTGAGTTCGATTATTCGGTGAGAGTTCGCATGCGCGGCGCAACAGCATTGCAAGAAATAACCATCGTCTCACCTAAAAATATTTGAGGAAACTATAGAAGCTTGTTGCTTCCTCGAATTTTTCATGCTGCCTTTTTATATTGGAGTAAGACTACTTAATCCAACATATCGATATTCAATTCAAAACTTTAGTTAGTACCGACATGTGAGTATTTCAATAACAAATAATCAACATTTTGATTATGTTGGATTTTCTTCTTTCATAATAAGTGACCTCCAATGTGTTTTCTGCTGGCTCAGAACCAATAGTGTAACTGTAAATCGATTCTCATCTCTATAAGACTGACTAATGATATTTGACTGCATGGATCAAATGAGTAGAAGTTCAAATAAGCAATATTTAATGGGTTAAATGTAATAGCTGATCTTCTTTGCTGTTTGTTACCAATAAAGATAGCCTTGCCATTTGGCATTTATCGTTTGTTTTTGTTCGCTTTTTAGCAAGTCTACAATTTAATTTTTTAAGTTTAAAATCAAAATGTCTGATACAAAAAAAGCAACTTATTAGTTCACCACCAAAAACGTGATCAACTAACTTCTAACATGAAGTAGATGACCAACCTGAAGATATCGGTGAGGTTTTGAGTGTTCTTTTCACTAACACCTTCACTCGCACGCACCTCCAGACACATCCTTAAGCATCTTCCCGAAGCCACTTGAACGAAAAGCTAGTCATTATCTGTATGTTGACAAAGTGCTAATTTGTGAAAATTAATTTAAATCAACGGAAAATCATCCCCACGCAAATATATCGCTTAAAAAGTTGTTCAAATTGAGCGAAGTTTTTGCGAGAATGCATCGAAATAACTATGATTCTTGGAATGCGTACACGTATCTATGAAAATTATGCAATGTTCTTTTGTTTTCTTTGTGACTTGGAATACTATCAGTGATTTTTTCTAGAATCTTTTCTTGAATTGCTATACTCAATCCAGTGTAAGCAGTAGAATTTTCAAAATTGTAACTCTCAAATAAGTCTGCTTTCTAACCGTTAAAAATCCATTTTCTCGATTTGAAATCTTTCAAATCTCAAGAGACGTTTAACTATGCATCATTTGATAGAACTCGATCGAGTTTTTTAAAATTTTTGTTTGGATAATCATAAAAACTCACTTCACAAAGCACCTTTCCAAATGCTAGTCTTCACGAAGGCAAGGGTTTTTTTAAGAAAATAACGATCTTGTGTAAAAGTTGATTTTTGTAAAAAACGATTTTTTTCTTGGAAAAAAGTTTTCTAGGAAAAACACGATTTTAAGAAAGAGATTTTTTCGTGGGAAATCCAAACTTAAAATTTCGAACAACTGATTTCAGATTCGGAATTCTCAACCCCAATTTACTTTCGTCAATCTTCATACAAGATCGTTATTTTCTTGAAAAAAAGCTCTTTCCTTCGTGAAAAACCGGTTTGGACCCATTACCCTATCTACGTTATCGGTTTGGATCGGTGAATGATCGTCACCGTTGCATCCCTAGATGGATGCCTGTGATACTAGATGGTCAGATGGGTATTTTTTCTTTAGCCGATCAATCATTTACACCCATACCCACACCACTCAAACCTATCGCTCATCAATACAGATTCTACAGCTACCATACATCAACATCCGTCCATTTTTATATTTATCGACACCAGCACTCACTACTCATCGACACAGATCCACAACGCATCTATATTTGCTTCC